ACACTGTAACTTAGCGCTGGTAGAATACTAATTGGTCTGTAGTTATTAAATTTATCTTTTTGTTCAGTTTTAAAGATAGGAATTAGTGTTCTTCTAGTATCAGAGGAGGTTAAAAGAATTTAATTTTGATAATTTGAAAATTCACATAATAGTTTCCTATGACTAGAATGTTTCATAGATTATTTTTGTGAACATGGATTTCATATCAGGCTGTGACATCCGTCTTGTGTTTACTTTGCCGCCCAAAGACAGTACACTGCAGTAAAAAAAATTGCGTACACCTCTAAAATAACTTTCCGTGCTTTAGTACCTTGAGTTGGCTGAACGTCTATCTTTGTCTATGGGTTAAAACTATAAAAAACACACACATCATATTTACGAAATAATCCCGCTTGGAACATATTACATAATCACACTTTTATGTCACCGTATATTGTTATTTTTTTACTAAGCCCCCCCCCCTCCCCCTCCCCACTCGATTTGTTCCTCCTAGCTTGTGTGTAGTATTCTAAAAACCTACCTGCGATTACAGCCATTCAGTTCCACACTAGTAATTTTATTTTCTGTAAAACAATTGAACTATGATACAGGGCGTCCCGTTATAAATACGAAAATTGAGCTATAATACAGTGTGTACCATATAAATATGACAATTGAACTATAATACTGCAAGGTGTCCCAATAGTTATATAGTCATGTTTAGTTAGAACCAAATATGAAATTAAGTATATGCTAATAGTTGATTTTTCTTTTTCAGATTATTAAAATTAAATGGTTTTTTTTAATCGTTTAGTTTTACAATGGTAGGCGAAAAATGAAGACGACTTTTGATATCAATTTTGTTTTTCATCAAACTTTTCAAACAGCATGGATACACAAAAAATGCAAATAAAGAGAAGATGCCTGTTCAAAAAGCTTTTTGTAATAACATGAAAATTTTAATTCGAAAAAAGCTTGTTAAGATTAAAAACTTAGATAAAAAATCGTCTTCATTAATATTAATGCCTACCACCGTAAAAGTTTTTTTTAGATTAAACTTTAAAATTTTAATTAAAATTTTTTAATAGAAAGGAACACCTTTTTATATAAAATCCATGATCCACATCATTTATTTTATGTTATTTATCTTTCTGAAAAATGAAAATTATGGAACTATTACTGCTCATGATTATTTAACTTACTGCACACTGTGCCTTGTTGTAAAACTGTACATAATATTTATTGTACAGGCCAGTGAACAGCTGTTAGAGGCAGTACAGCAGAAGGTACAGATAGCAGAACAATTGGAACAATGGGAGTCAGATATACATACAGTTATAGGTAAACATAAATAAACCATGTACTGCTCAGTGAAATATTGTTGTTCAAATAGTGCCATTCCCGGAGTTATTTTACACTCTAATATGAAATCCATTAAAACACCAAACCAACCCGCTTATCATTGAAGTACACTTTTACCCCTTGAAGTTAGAGTTCGCGGACTGTACAATTCTTGTTGATTTTGCGTACATAAGCTATCTATGTATATTTATTTATCTATCTATCTATTTATCTATTTATCTATTTATCTATTTCAAGTGAATCTCCATTGATATAGTGGCAACTCAGATTCACATGTGTACCCTTTAAAATTTAATCTTGTGGCTAGTGGTGGTTGTGGCTAGCACATACATAAATGCTTCAGAAACTGAGGAGGAAACTATAAGAATTTTACGCTTTATAAGCAAGAAAAAAAAACGACAATATCTTCCAAATTATTGATCAAATAGGGTTTCAAATAAATCTGACATGCCTATATTTAAATGGAAAAAAAAATAATTTTATTAATAACTAAATTTTTTTTATTGTTTCAGAATCTAGACTTGAAGAGAGCAAGATGTCATCAGCTAAACATTGCCATAGTTCTGTTCAAAGAACTCTTTCAAAGCATACAAATAACAAGCTAGTGGGCCTCTTTCAGAGGTCATAATCATACAAAAACAAGCTAGTGAGCCTTTTCAGAGGTCATAATCGTTCAAATAACGAGCTAGTGAGCCTCTTTCAGGGGTTATAATCATACAAATAACAAGGTGATGAGCCTTTTTCAGGGGTTATATTCATACAAATAACAAGGTGATTAGCCTCTTTCAGAGGTCATCATTAATACAAATAGCAAGGGAATTAGCCTCTGTCAGAGGTCATAATCATAAAAATAACAAGGTCATTAGCCTCTTTTAGGGGGCAAATCATACAAATACCAAGGTAATTAGCCTCTGTCAGAGGTCATAATCATACAAATAACAAGGTAATTAGCATCTTTCAGGGGTTATAATCATACACATAATAAAGTCATTAGCCTCTTTTAGGGGTCATAATCATACAAATAACAGGGTCATTAGCCTCTTTCAGGGGTCATACTCATACAAATAACAAGGTCATTAGCCTCTTTCAGGGGTCATAATCATACAAATAACAATATTATCAGCCTCTTTCAGAGGTCATAATCATACAAATACCAAGGTCATTAGCCTCTTTCAGGGGTCATAATCATACAATAGCAAGGTAATTAGCCTTTTTCAGTGTTCATAATCATACATATAACAAGGTCATTAGCCTCTTTCAGGGGTCATAATCATACAAATAGCAAGGTAATTAGCCTTTTTCAGAGTTCATAATCATTCAAATACCAAGGTCATTAGCCTCTTTCAGGGGTCATAATCATACAAGTAACAAGGTAATTAGCCTTTTTCAGAGGTCATATTCATACAATTAACAAGGGAACTAGCCTCTTTCAGAGTTCATAATAATACAAATAACAAGGGAATTAGCCTCTTTCAGAGTTCATAATCATACAAATACCAAGGTAATTAGCCTCTTTCAGAGTTCATAATCTTACAAATACCAAGGTCATTAGCCTCTTTCAGAGTTCATAATCATACAAATAACAAGGTAATTAACCTTTTTCAGAGGTCATAATCATACAAAGAACAAGGGAATTGGCCTTTTTCAGAGTTCATAATCATACAAATAACAAGGTCATTAGCCTCTTTCAGGGGTCGTAATCATACAAATAACAAGATTATCAATCTCTTCCAGAGATCATAATCAAAATTTCACAGATATCTTAGATTTTTTTTGCCGAAAAATATACAAAGATTATTCTGAAACTACAAAAAATATTTGAATATGTCATTAAAGTTATGATTATATTATCCTGTTCTTCGTGAACACTTTTTCTAACAATTATTCTAATTGTGATATACATTGGCTGTGATACAATTTGTGTAATTAAATCAGGAAATAAATTTTAAAAATTATAATATGCCACAACAGTTTACTGACCTACACATCGATTTATTGACTCAAACTCTAATTTTTTCGACATTTTATATTTTCCAACATTAGAAATGTTGAATAATAATTACTGTTTCATTAATTAGTTTGTCTACGAATACTTAATATATTAAAGTTTCATAACATTAGATTGCAAAGAAACAGGGAAGAGAAAATCAGAACTTGGGTCGAGCAAATAGATTATCAAGTACAACAGGTGGCAACCGAGAACTGGACCAATTATACATGACGTCACAAGTGTCAAATATAACAAGGAAAAAGAAATTTTCTCACATTAGTTGACATGTTTTCCTTTACCGTAAGATAAGCACTTTATTCTGAAATTATCATTATTATTAATGATTTTGTCGGACACAAAAACAAAGTTGACACTTATGACGTAAGAATACAGCTGAACTGAAAGTGTACACATTCTACGTTGCCATTTATTGTATTAGAATCTATTTGGGGTCGAGTAGTGTAGTTTTGGGGTCGAGTAGCGTAGTTCCCTAATTTTCAATTTTTCACGCATCAATCAAGGACAATGTACTAATATTTTATAAAATTGTAATAAAAATCAGTGGAATGGTTTGGGTAGATTTTCTTGCCAAAAATGTTGTTATTTGAAAATAAAGTATTTTTTGAAAATTGCCCCAAGAAAATGTTCAGAAAAGATAGCTTTTAAGAATTACAAATTGTAATTTTTATCGTGAAATTTTTGCAAATAATATCAGAAGGAAAACGATAATAATTCCAGAGTTTTCTGGTTATAACTGTAACCTTTTCTTCTCTTTTCATGTGTTGCTTTTAAAAGTCGTCTTGAAGATGATAGATTTCTCAATCAGGTAACGCCAATAAACTTCACAACACCAATTAAAGGGACTGTAAGCGTAATTTCAGGTTACCCTTTATGCATAGATGAAAATGCATGTTTTACAACGGGGTTTTGCCCTCAAAAGCTTTGTCTGATCAAGTATTAACTAAATATTCCATTTATTATTTTTAATCGCTGTTCTCTCTAAAAACGATATATATATTTCAACTGCTGAAAACCCTATAGGAATTGTTAGAATCAAACAATTTTAAATTTAGAAAAACAACTTCCACATACAGTGAAACCCTTAATAACGAATACATCGGAAGAATTTATCAAATGTCGTCTTGAAAATTTTTCAATGAGTTTTATACTATATTTGGTAAATTTCCGTATTTGCGAAAATAAATAAATAGCCATGAATATGCGGGAACAGTTTTAAAGAGTTTCATATAATCATTTAATTAAAGAACTAAATATAAGAAAGTGAAGAATACGACATTTGATGAATTCTTTCGATGTATTGGTTATTAAGGGTTTCACTGTAATTGGTTAGATAAAGGTTTCAAGAGTACCGTTGTGAATCGAACAATGCGATCTTTGCAATGAGGCCGAGTCACGTGGATTTAACGGTTCTGCCAATATTTCAGAAAACTGTGACTTTCGATAACAATATGACCCCTTTTACATAATTTTATAGCCTTTTATCCTAAATACTTTTTTTGTTGGCATATACATTTTGAATGAAAAAGTATCAAATCTGTAAGTATAAAGACTGTTGAAATATAGACGAAAACACGTTTGATTTCAAATAAAAGAAACCGAATGCTTCTCTCTCTCGTTAGTTCAGGGGGGGGGGTCACTAGAAAATATGCTTCCAGTCCCTTGAGAGATATTGGATTTCAAATATCTTGCTAAAATGCTAAGAGTTAATAAACGGGATTTTTTTTAAATGCATCTTCATATATCACAAAAAACATGGACGTTATATGAACAAATTAATCTTAAAGAGCCTAAAAAGAAGCAGACCGCAATTTTAAAATGCAAACTGGTTTTCAATGACTATTGAATCACAAATATTCCATAATTGTAAAATAAATTATTTTAACGATCAAAGATGAAATTTTATGTGTCTTTTAACTGCAATCATTTCTATATAACCTATAATTTTAGAAAGCAATTAAAGAATTAAAGAACTTAACACTCTAACCATCAGAGGGAAAGCATTCAAAAATTAGTGTGCCATAACGTGGTTATAAATCCCCCTTTAACTTTCTTCCTTCCATGTATTTCCTTTATCGACTCTGTGAATATCCCTGCAGTTTTCTAGTATTGATAAAATATATTATTACTTACATTCCCCTTTTACACAATACACTGTACCATATTTTGAGATACTACTCAGTCTTCTCTTGGCATTTGTTACAACAGAAAGTTATTCCATTAAATATACTTAATATTCGTCACAAAACCATGATTTTCTAATCCCTACAGTAAGAACCAGAAAACTATGAAACAAGAAGACGACTTCCAGACCAATTTAGATTTCAAATTGTCCAATAAAAATAAAACACAACGCTTTTGAATAAAACACAACCCATTTGATTTAATAAATACTTGTTAAGCTTCTATCAGAACTATGTTCGTTGTAACAACCTCAAATAGGTATTGTTTCAATGTCGCCTTCCTATTCTAGTTCTCATTGTATATCTTTGCTACCTAGTGGTGGGAACCTTAGATATTTTAAACTTTGCGGATTTGATTAATCGGGTTGCAATGATATCAGGGATTTTAGAATTAAAAGTTTGCTTTCTATAATTGTTAATAGTAAAGAGAGTAAAGCAAAAAAGTAAGTATACAAAACAGCAAATATTAAAAAACTGTATGTTAATTCAATCGAAGGTGATTCTACAGTCGCAATGAATTTTAATTTTTTCGTAATCCTCTTTAAACACATTTGAAGAATTAAATATTTTTTTTAAAGAATATTTTTAGTGAGAGGGCATATTTTATGTTATATGATTATTTTTTTTTTTTTTTTTTAGTTAGCATTGCATTAAAAGCAAAGAAAATATTCTTTGCAAAAACTGTTTAAATGCATATATTTCAAAAATTAGAAAGTGCATATTTTGAAATAAAAATGTATTTTCAGCCCTATAAGAAAGACAATATTGTCTATGGTATACAAATTTATTTTAACCATATTCCTGTAACAAACTAAATCTTTGTTTTGACCCACTTTCAGTTGTCAGATTTTTTAGCTTTTCGGGGAAACCTATGACATGAGGAAACGGATTGCACAAGTTTTGCAAAGAAAATTTTGTAAATTATTTGCAAACAACCCGTCGAAAAAATTGGCACACTTTTAGTTTTTCTTAATTACACATCAGGTTATTCAAAATTTTGCAACATTTTTTACATTTGAAATTGCATGGTCCTGGGTTTTTTTTTGTTTCCAAAACTTTTTACTGTTTAATTGGATTTGCAATTTTTTGCAGATTTATAACAATAGAGCATAAGAGCTTTCCAATGTTGTATCATTTGCCATATTTAGACATCACACATGGAGGGGGGGGGGTCAAATTGACCCCGTCCAGCGTATCCTGGTTTTTAAGTACCCTAGCAGGTATAGGGTTAAAGTACAGATTTAATTTTTTTTTTTTAATCGAACCGCACAATAAAAATAGATATTTACAAACAAAATCATATAACAAGAGAAAACTGTAGAAATATGAAAAATATAAAAATGAAATTTCTATTTAAATTTCAAATAAACGCAAAACGCAAACATTTTCATTAAAAAGAGGATCATCCAATTGGCGTTTTATTTCATTTTGCTTTAGCTATTCTGTATTTGTACTGTGCAGCTTAATTGAAACTCGGCCCGGTGTCGTCTTCTTTTCAAAGAATTTAAAATGATGAATAAATTAATTTGTATCCCTCTACCCCTGTACATACAACAACTATGTTAAAGTTAGTAGATTAATATGTTAATGAATCCATTTAATAGGTTTAGATATATTTGAATTTCATGTTTAAGACTGAAATACAGTTCCCTGACATTATCTCACGCCCGGACACTTATAATGTGACACCGGTACTTGAAATAGAGTACCCGGACATTATCTCACGCTGGGACACTTATGACATGCCACCTGTAATTGAAATAAAGTACCCGGACATTAACTCACGCCAGGACACTTTATATTGTGACACTGGTACTTAAAATATAATACCTGGACATTATTTCACGCCCAGACACTTTATAACATGACACTTAGACTTAAAATACAGTACCCGGACATTATCATACGCCCGGACACTTTATAACATGACACCGGTACTTGAAATACAGTACCCGGACAATATCTCAACCCTGGACACTTTATAAAGTGATACTGGTACTTGAAATAAAGTACCTGGACAATATCTCACGCCTGGACACTTTATGGCAAGACACCATACTTGAAATACAGTACCTGAACAATATCTCATGCTTGGACACTTTATAGCGTGACACCAGTAGTTGAAATACAGTACACGGACATTATCTCACGCCCGGAAAATGTGGCACCGGTACTTGAAATACTGTACCCCAATATTAGCTCATGTCCAATCACTTTTTAACTTGACGCTGTTACTTGAAATTCAGTACCTGGACATTACTGCACGTCCGGACACTTTATATCATGACACCTATACTTGAATTAAAGTACCTGGACATTACCTCACGTCCGGACATTTTATATCATGACACCGGTACTTGAATTAATGTACCTGGACAATATCTCACATCTGGACACTTTATAACATGACACCGGTACTTGAAATAAAATCAGAGTTTACAGTGGTAGGTAGATTTTAATGTTTTACTTTTCAAAATTAAATGATTTAGAATTGTTTTCTGAATTAAAGATTAAAAGAATGTAAAAACCAAAAATGCGTGACCCAGCAATTAATCCGAAAAATTTTGGGATTGGGATTCCCAACCCTGTTGGTCCTCCGATCTTCAGAGCTTTAGAAATCCCAAGGTAAATTTATCAGAAAAAAAACAAGAAGTGCAGTTTAAGGATTTATCAGTACAAATAAAAGTATTTATACCGTAAACCAGAAATATGTTTAAAACAATATCATTAAGTTCTGCTCTCAAATTATTAAATGGAATAAAAACAGTAACATTCTTCTTGTCTTTTTTTAATTATAGAGTTTTGCAATAAAAGGTGACATTCTTTTCTTTGTTGATAACTCCTTCATGAACCTTTTGAAAGAATAATCAAAGTAAATAGTTATCCTTCTTTTATTTATAGCAAACATTTTCTTACCTATGTAGACGACAGGAGAATATACCAGAACCCTGTTCTCTACTCACCTATACTCCACTACCCTATACTGGACCTGCTCTGCTCTCCACCAACCAGTGGCAACAGTTTAGTAAGTATACTCACCTATACTCCTCTGCCCTATACTGGACCTGCTCTGCTCTCCACCAAACAGTTGGAACAGTTAAGTAAGTATACTCACCTATACTCCTCTACCCTATACTGGAGTTGCTCTGCTCTCCACTAACCAGTGGAAACAGTTCAGTATAAGTATACTCACCTTTACTCCTCTACCCTATACTGGACCTGCTCTGCTCTCCACCAAACAGTTGGAACAGTTTAGTAAGTATACTCACCTATACTCCTCTACTCTATACTGGACCTGCTCTGCTCTCCACCAAACAGTTGGAACAGTTCAGTAATTATACTCACCTATACTCCTCTACCCTATACTGGAGTTACTCTGCTCTCAACCAAACAGTTGGAACAGTTTAGTAAGTAAACCCTCCTTTACTCCTATACTCTATTCTAAGTAACTATAATCTTTGCTAATAAATTGTATATATTTAAATTTATATATTTATGTTAGCCATAGCTGGCCAAACGGTTTTTGCCTAAGTGACTGGCATTTTTTTAGGGAACCCATGGGTATCCCGGGAGGTAACTTTTTTTTCATGATGGAATTTTTTTTTCTTCTAAATTGGTTTCATTTAGGTAAACATACAGTACAATTACCTTGTAAGGATAACTTTTTCTCTCCTTCAAACAAACCTAGCAAACTAACTAAACAGAAAACTGTTTTTTTTTCTGTTCGTCACTATTCAGTTTTAATGGAGTGACCGGCAATGTATGGTAGTTGAACTGAGAATGTAGTGTTGTGTAGAATTTTTTTAGGATTCATTTAAAATATATAAAATGTTTCAATAATGTTAAATTACTGAGTTTGAACGCAAATTCAACGTTCAAAATCATTCGTTTGTGTGGTTATGTTTTGAGAAGAAATTTTTTTGAATTATCAAATAACGACCACGAACAGTAAATATTCCATTGTAAACTACTTGGTAGTTTAAGAACAGGTTAAGAAAATTAAAATTAGTAATCTTATTCAATTATTGGTTTCTGTAATGTCTCATTGTTCGCAATATTTTCTGTAGATTTCCTGGAATCTTTATTGAAAAGGCGACATTTGAAGAAATTGAAGAACTTTGCGAACAAATTCATAAAGTATAAGAAATTCAATATAGTAATGAAAAATAAATAATTGATTCAAACAAAGATTTATTGAGAAAATTTTAATTGAGAATATGTTCCTAAACACCAAATTAGTTTATTATAATTTTTTTTTTATTTCCTTAATGTTGTTATTAAATTAATTTTAATAAATCGATTCTCGAAATGTATGATTTTAAATGTCGACTTTGCGCTCAAACTCAGTAATTATACAGCATTAAAACGTTTTATTTGTCTCAAATGAATCCCAAAAATCTCTCCAGAATACTTCCTTTTCAGTTAACCCTATTCCTGCTGGGGGGGGGGGGGGGTCAATTTGACCCCCCCCCCCTGTAGTTTTTTTTACATAACTCAAAAAGTATTGGTCTGAGGCTGTTGAAATTTTCTGACTTTTCTTACATACCCAAAGCCCTCCCTCCTTATTTTTTGAATNTTGGCAATGCTAAAGTATTTGTTTTAAATAGGCAGTGTGCCTGAGGACTCAGGCAGTTAGTATTAAAGCCCGGTTTTAGGCCTAAAGGGAGGACTTTGGGTATGGGAGAAAATTCAGAAAATTTCAACAGCCTCAGACCAATACTTTTTGAGTTATGTAAAAAAAACTACGCAGGAATAGGGTTAAACAAATAGTACAACATCCACATCAAAAATCATTTAGCCTTTTCACAGTTTTCAAATCTAACATAAAAAATTTTTACAAAAACTTAAAAAAAAAAACTTTTACAAAAAATTATCTTTCCCTAGGAGATTGCACGAAGAGAGGCTTACAGGAGAAGATTTCAGGAAACTCAAGAAGAAAAGGAAATACAAATTCAGGCAAAAAATATTAATTTTTTATGGTTTTTAAAAAAGTAAATTTTTGAAGCTTATTTAATTTGCACAGTCTTGAGATTAAATGTCTGCCTTAAAAAAATTCTTTTAATGAAATATGTAATGATTTGGGGGGAAAATATCAAGATAAAGGCTGTATAAAGAAATATAAATGTAATATTCAATAAATTTTACTCTCTATAGACGGCTTTGAATTATCTCATCCTTTGTGGGTAACCCTGTATAGTTACTTCAGAAAAGTAATAAGTACTAAAAAAATTAGAGTTGAAATAACAAATGTATCTATATCTAATGTCGATTTTGACGATTGGGCAATTTTGATTTTTATTGATAAATTGAAGTTTTGAACAAATCTCCGGTCTCAGGTATTTTTAAATGTACGAAAAAAGGATTTTGAATGATCTTTAAAATATCAAAGAAAATCTTTAAACCTTAATCCTTTTAAGGAATTAGAATTTTAAAGAATTTTTGAAAATACTTTTCTTTTAAAATATGGTGGAAAGGCCGGTCAGTGTTTTAACATTTTGTTTTTGTTAGTTAAATTACAGATCTAAAAACTAACTTATAAAAAGCCCCCTTCCCCCTCCACCGGCTTTACATAGATTCAGACCGACCAGCCATGTTATGTCGTTTTTTAAACATCATGTTTAGTTTGACACCCTGTATGTTTAGTTTTACACCCTGTATGTTTAATTTGACTTACTGTAATGTTTAGTTTGACACCCTGTAATGTTTAGTTTGACATACTGTAATGTTTAGTTTTACATACTGTAATGTTTAGTTTGACACCCTGGAATTGTTAGTTTGACACCCTGTAATGTTTAGTTTGAAATACTGTAATGCTTAGTTTTACATACTCTAATGTTTAGTTGGACACCCTGGAATTGTTAGATTGATATACTGTAATGTTTAGTTTGACATATTGTACTGTTTAGTTTGACATACTGTAATGTTTAGTTTGACTTACTGTAATGTTTAGTTCGACATACTGTAATGTTTAGTTTGACATACTGTAATGTTTATTTTGACACACTGTAATGTTTAGTTTGACATACTGTAATGTTTAGTTTGACATACTGTAATGTTTAGTTTGACATACTGTAATGTTTAGTTTGACTTACTGTAATGTTTAGTTTGACACCCTGTACGTTTAGGAGTCTAAGAAGCAGCTTGAGGATAGTCTGACTAAAGCTGCAGAGGTTAAACAGCAGCACCAAGACGAGCTTCATAACAAGAAGAAGCAGCAGCAACAGCTTAGGAAAACGATATTACTACTTAACTCTGTGCATGCATGATGTGCAAATATAAAAGATGATAATTTTGGAGCTGCTAGACTCGATATATAATCTCTTAACTTTTAAAACTCCAATGTTTTCCCGAAGAAATTGAGTTTTTGCCACAAACTCTGATTTTTTATCCCCGGATCTTTGCAACCAACTGTCGTAGACCTTAGATAATATCAAACTATGAATTTTGTTAGATCACACAATCTAAGTTTGAAATATCAAATGTTTGAACCATCAGGTGTGTGTCCAAAACTGAATGCCATTATGAACAGTCAATGAAATCAAAAGTAGTTTTAACATATTTTTTTTTAAATTTAGTTTTTTATTAAATTATTTGTTACAGATCTAGCAAAAACAAATTCTTTTTAATTTTTCTTGTCATCCTTTTCTGCCTTCTTCATCCTCCATTTTCTTCTTTTGTTAACTCTCCCTCCTGGCATTTTGAAAAAAAAGTTTTTTTCTTAAAAAGTATGATATTGAATATTGCACTGCAGGGAGTTCTGGAGAGAGCAAGCTGAGGAACGGAAACTGATGGAACAATCTCAAACAGGAACCAACCAATAACAGCTATATTTTACTTTTATAGAGAATCTTGATAGATTTGTTTGCTAACCTTAATTTTAAAATAACGTGTCCGATAACCTACCCTTGAAAAAGCTTTTCCTGACTTGAAAAGTAAACAATTGAAAAAATATTCTGTTGTCTTTTAATCAACCCAAATTAAGATTTCCAAAAATAAAGAAACTAAAATTGCAAAAAAATAATAATTTTAATTATTAATATAATATTAAACTGATAATGTTTTTCTAAGACTTTTTTTAATTTAATTAAAACTAAAAAATGATTTGTTAAGAACAAACATAGGTGGTGTTTCTTCAGATTTTTCAACCAAACATCTGGCTAAAACATTTAAAAAGTGAGAACAATTTTTAATTTTAAAAAAAATATATAATTAAAATATTCATTCTAAAAGTTGTATCAGATTACGTCAAAGGAATTAGATTTTTGCCACAAACTCAAATTTTCTAATACCTATAATATATTCATATTTTAAACTTAGACTATTTGATCTAACAGATTTATAGTTTGTACAATTTAAATATTTTTATTTGTTATAAATGTTGATAGATACAAAACGTTAACATAGTTATTGCAGAAGAAATATTATAATAATTAAGGCGAATTTAAATAATTTAAACCACCTTTAGATGCAGATCAAATATGAAACTTGGTTCAAACATGGTTATTTCAACTTAAAAGTTTAATCATTCTTTCGAGATTTGAGCTGGCGCACCAATTTGAACCGAGAATGACAGTTCAGCATTGTTATTCAAATTCATTAAATTCGGCCTCTATCTAGGTATGCTGTAGAAGATGATAGAATAGAGGAATATGCTGAAACATTGATTCAACAGGAACCAGTATTAAACACAATTTAACAAATTATTTAGATATTAAAACCTATAATCATTGATCATTTTTCGAGGCATTCATACATAGTTGATGTTTCATAATATATTTTACTTGTTTCATATACCATGTACTTTACACAACATTTTATTTTGTCGCTAGTTGTCGTTGGAGTCTTTTCCACATGGACTCTAGAAGCATCGAGAGCAAAGACACCTAGCGGCCTAATAAAATTTAATTTAAAATAGATAAAACAAGATAAAACTGGTATATCCTAGTGGTACCAAAAGTGGTAAAAAAAAAAGAAATCTAAAGCCTGAAAACTGATGTAAAGTAAATCTTTTACCAAAAGGAACAAGTTCTCCGGTATCTATTAAAAACAAACCTATTTGTACCTGTCTGTACAATGTTGACTGCTACGTTCAGGAATGAAATGGCTTTCGAGTTGGAGCCAGAGAACACTCCAGGTGCTGGTCCAACCTAGTTTCCTAATTGAGGGGTTTGGACTGGACGGAAGTGGGCCTTCATCAGACCAGATCGTCCGGGACATTTTGAGCAGACAAGTTGTTGCCGAGGTATCTCACAGTCTTACAGTATCTTACTTTATCATGACTTGCTCCACATTTGTAGCAGCTATTCAGCTTTTCTCTCTGATGAAGTTTGGACCACTGCATTTCCAACATTTCACATCTATTGTATTAACAGTAACATTCTGGTTTGATGGTACGCGTTGAAAATACTGCACCACAGTGTCTCTTAGCCCTATTCCTGCTGGGGGGGGGGGAGCCAATTTGCCCCCCCCCCCCCCAGCACATACTGGTTTTCAAGTAACCCAGCAGGGATAGCGTTAAACTACCATATATTGCCGGTCACTCCCTTTAAGAAAAGTGTGATAGCTGAGTTCTCTTCCCCTGTACACTATCCATTATATGTACTGGGTGCAAGTACAATGCTCTCGACCAATCATGGGGGTGAATTGATTTTTACTTTGTTTTTTTTTACTAGTTATGTTGGTAATATTTTAAGGAGATGTAGCGACTGATAGAGGGGAGATTGAGCTTGAAGAGAAGAGAAGAAAAGAGGAGAAGGAGGAACTGAGAAGGAGGGCGCAGGAGATTACTTTAGAATGGAATCATACACAGGTACGTCAGGGTCAAAGATCGCTAATAAAAAGTAAAATGTACTGATTTTTTAATCTTTTGGCGATCTTTTTTTATTTAGATGTTGTTATGAAGCAAACCAAAGTAGCTTGAAAACAAAACAAAAATGAGTCTAGATGTGCATTGTGCATTGCAATATGGTGTGTTTCATGTTCAAAGGGGTATTTTAATCATAACAGTTGCCTTCCTATTCTACAGTTTCATGGGGCCCACTGTATTACAATTGGGGGGGGGAAATATTCCCACAACCTCTACTTTTAGAGGTTTTAAATATTTTCTCCTGAAACACTTAATTTTGTATGTTTTTGTTTTATTTTATTAATAAATATTTTTTTTATTTTTACTTTTACAATATTGGTGAATCCCTTCCAAAAAATTAACCTATCTTTTCTGATTTTCCACTCAGGTATTGAAAATTTTAAAAATGTTGTTGCATATATAAACATTTTTTGTTTTAATTTTACAACATTTTCATTTGTGCATGTATATCATTTGTCCATATATTGATATTATACACAGAATTCAGCTCTTATCAGCTTCATCTGTTTCTTTTTTATCATTAGCATTTAAATTAAAGTGATTATAACTTTGTAAGCATAATTTCAAATGATCCACCCCACAAAGATGGCAATTCCAGATTTACAACTTTTGCTTGATAAATTATAAATTAGATAGCAATGATTTTGTTTCCTTATACTGTAAATTTTTCGAGTAAAAAAACTATGGTATCTTTCGTATCAAAGGTACTGTAGTAAATCTGGGATCGCCATCATTGCATTAAGTGTCATTTGAAATTACGCTTTCAGTCCCTTTATAAAATCTTTTTTTTTTATCTTTCTTAAAAGGAAGCAGAAAGAAAACTGTTTGATGAAAAACTGAAAAGACGAAAGGATGAAAAAGAAGAAAAGTTAACCAGGATAAGTGAAGAAGAAAACAGACTGAAGTTGGAGAGCGAAAATAGAATTTTAGAGGATACAGAGAGAAATTTGAGATATGATACTCAAAGGTAAATTATAATATAACAAGCATAAACAGAAAAATTAACAAAAAAACAGGATTGTTAAATCCTGTTTAGATATGTTACACTGCAACAAATCTTAACAGGATTCTGAAATCCTGTATAGATATGTTACACTGTAACTAATTACACAATACTGTACGCGGCGGTAAGCCTTATAAAAGAAAAAATAATTACGCAATTATCATTTCCCTACTTTCTGATTATTTGCAAAACAGAAAATAAAAATATTCACACAGAAAAATCGTTTAAAAAGTTTTAAAAGAATCAAAATTTCCATTTACATGACATAACACACATGGGTCCAGACTGCATATAAAAAGTTGCATACATTTTCAAGAACGGGTTGCATTAAACTGGCACAGAGGCCTTTTAGCCCAGATTTTTAAGAATTAATTGGCAAATTCTAATCTATTTCTGCATGAAAGCGTGCACTCTCTGGATCACTGTGTTAACATTTGAAAGTTGTTCAGATTTTACTATTTCAGGTTTAAAGAACTTCATCAAGCAATGCTTCTTTCCTTAACATTAAAAGTAAGCATTTTAATTTAAAATTCTAACAGAATTTTAATGTTGTTGATCAATGAAAGGCGTTGATTCTTTGCCACAAACTCTGATTTTCTGATCCCTATATCTTTGAAACCCAATGTCGTAAACCAATGATATTTCAAACTATTATTTGATCTAACAGAACTCATAGTTTGAAATATCAAAGGTATACGGCATTGGAATCTGAAGATAAAGGGAATAGAAAACCAGAGTTTGTTGCAAAGACTCAATTCCTTCAGTGCATTGTACAGGCCACAGGGTTACCTACAAAAAATAAGACTTTCGGAGATGCCTATTCGGATTTTATACTGTCAATTTTCCTTAAAGTAATAATTCCCTGAAACTATAAAATTCTTTTCTTCTTTGCTAAATCATTGACCATTTAAGGACCACATTCAAAGCAGAAGACTTAATTCAAACTCGGGTTCGTCAATTTTAAACAGTTTGAAGTCTTATACAGTCTTATCCTTTGTGGGTAACTCTGTAGTTTATTAAACAGTCTAATAGCAAACTAGTTTCCACGTAAATCATATTTTTAAATACTGAAATGTCTTAATGTATTCAGTTGTGCTGATCAGTTTTTTTATGTTTTTATTTAGCCCCAAAAAAATTTCTTAATATCAGTTTCATGGAAAGGAAAAAAGACTTGAAAAACTGCGAAAGAAACCTTACGTCTTCACTTTTTTTGCTTAAACAAAGACCAAAGGCCGAATTTAAAGAATTTGAGCCGCCTCTCAAATTTGAGACGCGGCTCAAAAATGGTTGGTTCTACTTGAAATTGTAGTCAGTGTTTCGAAATTTGAGCAGGCGCTCAATTGGAATCGGTTTTTGTCGGTACAGCGACTCCGTTTAGATTATTTAAATTCGCCTTTTTAAAAATTTTGTTTTATAATTTTTACCCCCCTTAATATCAATTTTAAGGAAAGGGAAGAAATTGCAAAACTTCAAGAAGAAAAACTAAACTTTGAGAAGAAGATGAGAGCAGATGAAGATAGAAGATACCTGGAAAGAATAGAAGAAGAGAAGAAGATCCTTCAGGTAAAGAAGGAGGAGAGAAGAAGATTTGAGAAAACCTGGGAGGAAAAAAGAGGACAACAAGTAGAGGAGAAGGAAAAACAGAAACAGGAGGAAAAACGGTAAAAATAAGAATTAGAGAAAAATTTAAATTAGAAAAACTAATATAAAATTTTGTGTTTAGAAATTCGTACCTGGAGCTCCAAAGATACAGGTTTACAATTATAAATCAATAAATAAAAAAAACAATGCGTTTTCAGTTAACCCTAAAATTGTTCTTTTACCAGTACCAATATGAAGTAAACTGGGTCTGTGTACACTGCACAATTCCCTATCCCATAGTTTGTATGAGCGTCAGCCGTTAAAAAAATAAAAATATTGTTTAAATAAAATTGAATATTTAAATCAGGGAGGTTGCAACATTAGATGAAGAAAAAGTTCGAAAAATGGAGGAACTGGAAAGGTGAATTACTTTTTTTCCTATTTTTTTCGGCTAAAAAGAAACCTGTAGTTTCTATTTTCACGGAACCAAGAATATCAGAAAAAAGTCAGCGTACATATATTCATTTCATATTCGTCTTTGAAGTCTCATCATTTCTGGGTAACCTTGAAGAAATGGCGTTTAAAGGATCATTCATCAACAATGCCAATTCTAAATCATTATTTAAGATTACGTCTTATCTACATTAAGAACCAGAAAACTGTGGAATAGGAAGACGACATTACAACACATCTTAATTGTATTTGATGTTGTTATACAGTTATACAGTTTTACAAGTTACTTATTAAATCACTATTTAAAGATATGGATCTGCTTACACTGCACAATTGCTGTGTTTATGTTCATTGAATAAGTTAAAATTAATTACTTGAATTGAAAAGTTGTTTTTCTATTACAGAGTTTTTTGGTTCTTACTGTACAAGCTGGATTAAAAAACAGGGTTTCCCACAAAGGATGAGACTGTAAAGACGACCTCTTAAATTATGATGGTTCAAACAGTGAATAAAATTGACAAAGAAAGAAACACAAGTTTACTGTTAATAGAAATTATAGATTTAAGGAAAAAAACAATTGTAAATTTTGTGCCGTCGTCTGTAAAGTCTTTGATGGAATGCCTATATATCTAACTCATCAATCTAAATATTATGAATGTCATATTGTCCAGGCTTGATAGGGAGCAGAGGATGGAGGATATTAAGGTCCGGAGGGTGGAGATCAAGAGGCTGAAGGATTTGGAGGAGAAGGAGGACAAAATACGATTACAGAAAGCTCAAAGAGAAAGAGAAGATCAAGAGGAGAAACGTAAAAGGTATATTTCATAGGAAAGTATTTTGGTCGAATTAAATGCAGAAATATTAGAGAAACTCATATAAGCACAATTTTAACAAAAACTTTATTGTAATCTTAAAAATGTTTTTAAACTTTAATAAATTATATATTTTCATATATATTTGCGTCTGCACATGATTAAAAAAACCACCAAAGTTGTATAATTCTTCTGCTAAACACACCAACGCTGGGCCAGTTTATTATACTTTGGCTAAACAGGGACCTAAAACATCCCTGTAAATCCTGATTATTGAAGGTTTGATGCGATTCAAGCAGAACGAAGAAGAAGAATAAATGAAAGACAAGAACATGCATTTAAATACAGGTTCAGTTTAAGAAAAGTTATGAAAATTAATAAAGGAAATTTTGGAATTTTATGATTCACTATTTCTAAGTTTTGAAGTATTCCTGGGCAATTAAAAGTTACTAACTCCGTTGCTATAATTTTTAGCATCTTCATTCTTTAAGAGTTGATATAAGTTAATGTAGATTTTTTGATGTAACCGACAAGTACACTTTTCATATGAAATTAGTGATTGTAATTATAAAAATTATGAAGTTATAAGTAGTGTTTCCAGCGTTTTTTCGTGAAACACATGAAAACAAAATTTCGCGAAAAAAAAAAAAATTTCGCATTTGTGGCGTGCGAACGAAATGCGAAAAAAAATCACAAAAATGCGAAATTTTTGCGAAACGATTCACCCTTTTTGCTGGAAACCCTAGTTCTAAACTGACCGGCATTATATTTGATTTCAGGGGTAAACTATTAATTGACAAAAATCGGCTAGAAATATTAAGTTAATTGATATTTGGATATATAACTTCTTTTTTTCCGCAAAAAGGAATGCATTATGTTAAATTACAATTAAACTTAATTTGAAATAACAAAGGTTTGCAAGGAATAACACAGGGCCGTGCATGAGAAAGCCAGTCGCACTGCTTTTCAGACGAGTTCCTAATCACACACGCACACTCTTTTGGTACAGACACACAGCATGATTAAAGTGAAGGAAATTGCAGAACAGTTTGTCATCAATAATAATTAAGTTTGAATAACGATTAGTTTGTTGTAAACTTTAATCCAATTATATTTTTTGAATGAAAAATTGGCTTACAGTTTTGACTTAGACTGTACGAATACCGAGATTCTTATGTATAATTGTATGCACCGACAGTACAACTATTCAGTTCCTTTTTACATCATGCACATTCTTTTGGTACACCTTTACATCCTGGGTTTACACCTTTAGGCTGCAAGGATAATTTAGTTTGTGCCAAAGACTGAATTTCTTTTTTTAATTCATTTCAAGCCCGCCTGACTGGTAAATCCCAGTATTCATAATTTCCAAGAATGTAATGCAGTCTCGTATACTCTGCGTACATATTGAAACCAGTTCTCTCTGGGCGGAATTTGTAAACAAAAATAGATGAATCAGTGTTCGTTTAGTATCCGAGGAGGTTAAAAGCATTGAATTTTAATAATTTTGGTAATTCACATAATAGTTTCCTATGACCAGAATATTTCATTGATTATTTATGTGAAAGATGGATCCCATGTCAGGCTTCGACATCCGTCTTCTGTTTACATTACCACCCAGAGACAGTACACTGCAGTTCAAAAGATGCGTACACCTCTGAAATAACTTACCTTGCATTAAATCCTTGATAATTTCTGACTTTTCAGATGAGATTGCCAATCGTTTAATCCCAATATATTTGAAATCCGATGTTGTAGACCTTTGATATTTTAAACTATAATTTCAGTTCCATTATGTATAAATATTTATCTAGATTGGCTAAATACGGGGGAAGAGTTGATATAACTGATGAAATGAACCAGGAGATAGTGGATCAGCAAGATAGAAAATATATAAACCAAAAACAAGTGGAAACTGAAAAATACAACCAACAGGTGTGGAATACAAAAGATTTGAAATAGATGTTTTTTTAAATTATTTTTTTTTGATTTTTTTAATTTTTCCTTCAAAATAACGAAATTTTATAATTAGATTAGATATTATTTTCAAAGACTATTGACAAAATTCAACCTTCAGTTCGATTTGTATCTATATAGTGTTTAGATCATCATTAAGGTTTCATCCAACTGTAGATATCGGGTCCCCCCCCAGCATATCCTGGTTTTCAAGTACCCCAGCAGAGATAGGGTTAAGGAATTGAAGAGGAAGGGAACCTGTCCCCATAAACGCTGGACCAAAAGCAACCTAGCATAACACCCTGATTATCTCCAGCTTCATCTCAATGCATTCTCCTGAGTTTTGGTCTACTACTTGATATATCTGTTTAGTCGCTAGGACAACATAGTTTTGGCTTACATAGAGGACGCACACCATGCTCAATAAATAGAGGAATGTATCCTTGGGAGCTAGAGCTTCTGTTCCTTCTTCCATGCTGAGGAGCAATAGTTGAAGACAATGGCTACTCGTCCCAGATTTGAAGTGATGAAAGTGCGGTCGAAGATTTTAACGAAATGCTGGCACCAGTGTTGAGTCCAGGACTGTCATCATCAAAATTTGCTTACTCACAATCTTTAATTCCTTGTCAGGGATCTTCTCCCATGGGAATTCAGGAAACAGAGAACTCTCGGAGAAGGAGGGGTTTGCATGGTCCTCCTCTGCATGCATAGTGGTGATCTCATGCACTCTGTTGAGCCATGTGCACTCTGTTGAGAACTCTCGGAGAAGGAGGGGTTTGCATGGTCCTCCTCTGCATGCATAGTGGTGATCTCATGCACTCTGTTGAGCCACGTGCACTCTGTTGAGAACTCTCGGAGAAGGAGGGGTTTGCATGGTCCTCCTCTGCATGCATAGTGGTGATCTCATGCACTCTGTTGAGCCACGAGCACTCTGTTGAGAACTCTCGGAGAAGAAGGGGTTTGCATGGTCCTCCTCTGCATGCATAGTGGTGATCTCATGCACTCTGTTGAGCCACGTGCACTCTGTTGAGCCACGTGCACTCTGTTGAGCCACGTGCACTCTGTTGAGTCACGTGCACTCTGTTGAGATTCTGCCTTAAACTGTGCGACAAACGGAACCCATCCGACATTGTTACCTCCTATTTTCTCCTTCTAAGCTGTGGTACATGCCTATTGGCTTGAATTTAAACTAGAATCTGAGGCAATGGTGGCTTCAATTTTCAACGCGTTCAAAGCATGTTTTCTGGGTTGGCTTTTTTAACAAAGGAACATTTCTCCAGGTTATACACAAGGCGACTTATCATCCACCCTACTTTCTGTCTGACCTATAGCTATATAGCTATATAGCTATTTATAGGCTGGACTACTTAGCTCTGGGTCTTTAAGAGGACTGAAGGGGTTACATCAATGGAACTTTCCATCTGAGTTTAGCTCCGGGTTTGTATGAGAACTGAAGAGGTTACATCAATGGAACTGACTCTATTCCGAGCTATTGAGCTCATACCGGTTACACTAGATCAAACCAAACAAACTATACCTGAGTCTGACCAGTGGTTTAAAATTTTGTGTTTTGAATTCCAGGATCAAGGACCATCCAAGGGATAAATCAATTTCTTGTTAGTATCATGTGGTGAAAACCCCCCCTCCCCTAAAAGTAAATAGTGAGACAAATAATTTTTTTAAATCTACCAATAAAAAAAACTCCAACAAACAAGATCAAAATAAAAAATAAAAAATATTCTAAATTTTATGCTGGTTTTCCTGGTCTAGAAAGAGCTCCAGGGATTGAATGTTATTCCAATATGTAAAGCAAAGAAAAAAATGACTCTCGGAAGGTAATGAATTCATATTTCTAAACATAAAATCAAATCATATATCATAGGGACAAATATAGGTACAATAAATATGTGCGAAACAACTGCAGAAGGAGAGTTTCCTAGCGCAGTTATTTAAATAAATTAAAACAAAAGTGAACGCTCATACTCAAAGCGTGGTTGTTACCTTTCTTCGACAACTTGGTTTCAATAATACAGAGATTACTTTTTTTGAAAAATAATACAGTGATAACCGAAAAACTCTGAATAGGAAGACGACCTTTAGAATCAAGTTACAACTTTAAAAAGTCCAATGAACATGAGACACAGCAATTGTAAATGTTCACTTATGCAATGTAAACAGACCCATTTCACTGAATTAGTGTTTCAATAAATTTCTAATAAAACCATTCGCTTTGTAACAATATGTAATGCACTTACGTAATGATAAATTGTTGTCTTCCTACTCCATTGTATTTGGTTATCACTGTATCTAAATTTTACTTTACTCAGCTGAAAAGATAATATTCCAGTGTCAACATTTTGAAACTTTTTTAAAATCCTCTGAACGATTCTAAAATTAAAAATATTTTTCTTGTAGATCTGTTCCATTGGTGTCTGTAGACGGTATAATACGGCTGAACCCGAGAATAAAAAATGCTTACTACAGGTATTGATTCACACATTCAAAACAGGACCAAATCCATTCATAAAAATACATATTTTTTTCTAATAAATTTTGTTAAATAGATTAAGGGAAAACCTCTAAAAAAACGGAATAACATAAAACTTTTGGATAAAAGTCAGGAGAACTCTCTGCTTTTAAAGTGACAATTCTTGTAATTTCAAGTTACCTTTCATTTATTGCCTGATTCACAACGAGTCTTTTGTTTCTGTTACAAAGCAATTACTTTTATATTGAAACTAGAAATGAAAATAACCAGTGACCGAATTTAAGCAATTTGATGGTTGGTTTCACTTAAAATGTTATTCAATTTTTCAAGATTTACGCCAGCGCTCAATTGAAACCGGTTTCATGGGGGATTTGAGCCGCGGCTTAGATTCATTAAATTCAGATACTGTTAACAATAAAAACTCTAGAATAGGAAGTCGACTTTTAACCTCAACTAATGACTTTAAATAGTCCAATGGTGAGCATGAGACACAGCAATTGTGCAGTGTAAACAGACCCATTATACTTCATTAGTGATTTAAGTCTTACTAGGACAGTTATTTGCTTTATTACAACACTTCAGTATTTCTTAGACGTCATCTTCCTTATCTACAGTTGTATGGTTATTACAGTAATTTGTGTACAGTATACGTACAGACCATAAACGGTAAACAAATTATCTAGATAAACTTGTACCGTTATGAATCTGACATGCCGTTCTATGAATTTAGGGTCATTTGAAATAATATCTACTGCACAGTCCCTTTAATTGAAATAATATCTACTGCACAGTCCCTATAATTAAAATAATATCTACTGCACAGTCCCTTAAATTTAAATAATATCTACTGCACAGTCCCTTTAATTGAAATAATATTTTCTGCACAGTCCCTTTAATTGAAATAATGTCTACTGCACAGTCCCTTTAATTGAAATGATATCTACTGCACAGTCCCTTTATTTGAAGTAATATCTACTGCACAGTCCCTTTAATTGAAATAATATCTACTGCACAGCCCCTTTAATTGAAATAATATCTACTGCACAGTTCCTTTAATTGAAATAATATCTACTGCACAGTCCCTTTAATATACTTTTGCAGGCCTGAAGATTCAAGGGAGAGAATGTGCATGAACTGGAATGATTGAGAAAGATTTTTTTAAAATTTATTGTTTAATTTTAATTTTAACAACATTTTTGAATAGATCAGTTACTTTATCTTTTGCCTGTCAAAGCATCTTATTATAGACCAGGGAAATTGCAATAGGGATTTCATTTTCACTGGAGGGGTAAAAATTGCTATTGTACTATTTGAAATTATTCACAAGGTAATTTACATTCCAATGTAGAATACAGATATCCATCCCCCAAATTATCTAGATGCAGGTTGCAGCCTTTATTATGATGCATGTTGCATTCTTTATCATGATGCAGGTTGTAATCTTTATCATGATGCAGGTTGTATTCCTTAAAATGCTACAGGTTGCATTCTTCATCATAACACAAAGTATGTTTAATTTTTCATCTATTTGGTTTGTTTTTAAACTGAACAATTGTTCAGTAAAATCGTTTGTTCCATAAAATCATTCTTTTATATCAAAGTTCGTTCAGTAAAAAAACTATGGTTTTTTAAAAATTTGGTCAAAAAAATCGTTTTTTAAGTGAAAAACGATTTTTAAATCTTTCATTTAAATTTGTTTGTTAAGTAAAAAAACGATAGTTTTTTTCAGATCGTTTGAACAATTTTACATTATTCATTTTTGTTTTTTTTGTTCGTTTTTTAGAAGACGATCATTTTTTCAATTCTCTGAAAAATCCAAGTTGTTCGTACATTTTTTTCTCATTGAGAACATCGTTCTCAAAAATTTTCTTTGTTCTACAAAACAATGATCAGTGAGACCCCCATCCCTTGGATAAAGTCCTGAGCACGCCCCTGAAGAATTCATTCATTGTTTTATATTTCCGAGCTTTATTAAATATGACCAACAAAATTCTGTTTATCTTGTATAACTAGTAATAAAACAACTTGCGCCATATTCGTTTTATTGACACATATAAAATATACAACTCATTAAATAAAACTGAATCCGAATATACTCTGGGAATTTTTTATAGATTTAACTAAAGCTTTTGATACCTGTGATGTTGACATTCATACTGAGCAAGCTTGAACACTATGGATTTCGTGGGACTTCTAACTTATGGTTCAAAAATTATTTAAATGGAAGAAAACAGTTTACTTCAGGGATGACTTGACTCGAGTTACAGAGATCGATTGAAACCTATGATATGCAATATTTTCCACAGCATGTTCTATTGTGTACAAGTACTGTACACGACCAATCAGCAAACATCTGTATTCAGGGATATTTATAGATCCTGTGGACACGAAATGCAAAATCTTCAAAAATAGACTGAATTCATAAATGTTATGTTTTGTTATGTATTTCTTTAAAAGTTGTAAAAATTAACCGTTGAATGGGTATTATATTCAACAAGTGGCCGTGAGATGGCATTCTAAAAACCCATTGTAAAAACTTAGCATGTTGTGCTGGGTCAACTTAGGCCTACGTAGCCCGCTCTGTGAAAGGAGATAAGCAGTCTGTGTAGTCTGTAATTCCCTTGTACCTTTCTTATAGTCCCCTGTTTCTCTCTTAAAAGTCCCCTGTTCCTCTCTTTTAGTTTTTAGTCCCCTGTAGCTCTCTTATAGTCCCCTGTAACTCTCTTATGTAGCTCTCATATTTTCCTCTGTAGCTCTAGTATAGTCCCATGTACCTCTCTTATAGTCCCATGTAGCTCTCTTATAGTCCCATGTAGCTCTCTTATTGTCCCATGTAGCTCTCTTATAGTCACCTGTAGCTCTCTTATAATCCCATGTAGCTCTCTTATAGTCCAATGTAGCTCTCTTATAGTCTTATATAGCTCTCTTATAGTCCTCTGTAGCTCTCTTGTAGTCCTATGTAGCTCTCTTATAGTCCCATGTAGCTCTCTTATAGTCCCCTGTAGCTCTTTCATAGTCCCATTTAGCTCTCTTATAGTCCCATGCAGCTCTCTTATAGTCACCTGTAGCTCTCTTATAGTCTCATGCAGCTCTCTTATAGTCTCATGCAGCTCTCTTATAGTCCCCTGTTGCTCTCTTATAGTCCCATGTAGCTCACTTGTAGTCCCCTGTTGCTCTATTATAGTCCCATGTACCTCTCTTATACAACCCTTTTTGGTCCTATATTCACATATGGCTTCAAATACAAACCAAATGTTTTCTTAATGTTGCATAGAATTGTTCAGCTCAGTATCTGGAAAACAGTCTATCTGTTTTTATCCTATAGAACACTTATCTACGGCAAAACACAAGGTAATGGGCCGGGTGTTAACATTATATATATATAGCATGATACTTGCCTATTTGTGAATTTAAAAAAAGTATGAAGGAGTTAAACCTACTAGTATAAATGTATATAAAATTACTTGTAAACAATGATTTTTTCCTTTAAAAGTTAACAAATGCTACTCAGAATTTTCAAATTTACCGCGTTCCCCCATCAATATTTGAGGCAGGTCCAGGGCTTCATAAATTATGCTCGGACATACAAGCAAAGGGAGATTATTACTTTATTAGATAGAGAAGTAGCAATCTCTGTTTGTTTTGTATGTCCGAATAAAAACCATTTAAAATTGTTTGAACGATGTTGAAACAACAAAAAATTTTTTACCAAACTAACAGAATTTCCAAAAGATTTTGAAAAAAATATAGTTTTTTTTACTGAATGAACAATTTTTTAGCACAAAGGAATTGATTTTCTTCCACAAAATCTGTTTTTTAATCCCTATATCGTTGCAACCCAATGTTGTAGACCTTTCAAACTACATTCTAAACTATGAAATCTGTAAGATCAAATCATCTAAGTTTGAAATATCAATACCATTAAATTGCAAAGCTAGGGATTAGAAAATTCAAGTTTGTGGTGAAGTCTATTCCAATATAAAAACCTAGTTAAAGTGAAATTTAAAAAAATCGAATTTTACAAAAAATTTGATTTAAAAAAAATGGAATTAAAAAAATAAAATTTTCAACTTTTCCATTTGTCAAGGGCTTTTCAAAAATGTAGTTTTTTGATCTTTAGCTTTAGTCAGAAAAAATTATGGGGCTATTTTAGATTTTTTTTAACACAGACAGGCCTTTTTACCGCCCTGTATCCTACCCTATGCATTAAAAAAATGTATTGTAAGGTTGTAAATTGTTTGTATTAAAATGACATTTATTTTATCAGGATTTATTTTAAACCTATAAACCACGGTGGGGTATTATGGGGGGGGGGGGTCAGCCAAAATGATTTTATTCCATAAACCTCTTATTTATGTCAAACAAGGCTTGGCCGCTTAACAAAGTCTCAAAGTGGTTTAAATGTTATGTTTTAGTTAAGAATTTCGACCAAAAACCCGCTATTTCATTGAAAACTCTTAAAAATAGGATTTTTCACTACATTAAGGTTTTGGGGTGCTGCTGGAGGACCTAAATATTTTCTATATGACTGTTAGAATCTATTTATATATTTAGATTATCCCGAAACCCCTGTGTTTTCTTGTGCTTTTGCTCTAGAATGTGTTTTACTTTCGAAATACTCACTGTAAAAAAACGACATCTAAATATATTGCGAGATTACAGGATACATTTAAGGATAAATATATAAGCGGGAAAAGTAATTATAAATTGAAATTATCAATGTAAGCTACAATTCATACAATGTTTGTAAATGAAAAGATTAACAGAATATATTGATTTTGTCCATTCTTAACATGAAACACAAGGCAAATGCATTTAAAGAGGAGTATCGTGACAAAAACAGTCTAACTATAGGGGTTGAAGATACAAAGACTCAACCAGTAGTCATAGGTATAAACCCACAGCTAAAAGTACGATGTCGAGATTCAGAGTAGGGTTTCCAATCGAAATGTTTTGCACGAAAATCTGCAATAATTAATCATGCAATTAAAGATTTTCTTATGATTCGAGTAAAAATTTGGATATAATTTTGCATTGAATTGCAAAAGTTATTTTGCGCAAATTATGAAAAAAATCTTGGTTATTTAATAATTTAAAGAAAACTAAATCTGAAAACGTATCCACCCCAAAGTAGGAATTTTGAACACCGAATTTGCGCTCAAAGTCAGGATTTACAGATCTTTTAAAATTTGTATGTGTCTCAAATGAATCCTAAAGAAGCTTTCCACAACACACAGTTCAACTACCTTACATAGCCGGTCTGTCCCTTTAAACCCATCCTTGTCCATCCTTGTTATGTGACATAAAGTGATCCATCCTATTCAACGAGGTTATAGTATATAGAGTAATGATGTACGCTAATCATTTACTAATTGTACAGTCCATGTACGTACTTCACTTCCAAAGGCCAATCTGTATACTACAGTACTTGGGGGTGATTTCTGAAAATATTTAAATGGAAAATTTGTTTTCCATGTAACTATTAAAATCCACTACTCCTTTCTCGTGTGCTTGATTTCATTTTTACAGGAAGACTTTGACAGAGCAATATTTCATCGTAAACTGTTCTGAGAAAACTGAGTAAAATTCAAGATACAAAACCTCCCCATTATACACTTGTACTCCGAAAGGCTACTGTATATTTGATATTTTGTATGAATAAGCCATAATCTCTTAACATCCTTTATCAGTAAACTATCCCAAATGTACACTAGGGCTGGGCACGTTCCGACTTTTTTGAAATCGTTCCGTTCCGTTCTAGAACGAGGGCCTTCAGCTAAATCGTTCCGTTCTCGTTCCTCTTTTTTTATCGTTCCGTTCTTGTTCCGTTCCGTCCCGTTCCGTTCCGTTCTGAGTAGAATTTCCGTTCGTTCTCGGCAAAGAACGATCGTTCCACCGTTAACGCGCCCAGCCCTAGTGTACACTCAGGCCAATACACAAGGAGAGGTAGCTAAGATCCAGCCTCCCTGGTTCTATTGTAATCATAGAGTCAGACCAACATGTAGAAAAGACGTTTTGTCACGATATAACTATAAAATTTGTTTACAAATTTGAAGTTATAAGGTGAAGAAGAAATTGAAACTAAAAGTTCTAGTTTTAGCCATTGTTCAGTTATAGAGAAAAAAAACACAAAGGGGTGGCAACACTGTGATGAGATTAAAAGATCATATTTTAAGATTTATCTGATTAGGTTTACATTGCTTGTGTTAAAATAATAAAATTTGTTCAGAATGTTGTGCATGAATGTCTGCACATTCTTTGCTCTTCTGTATCTGTCCCATTCTGTACAAAGTGCACAGTTTGGTTCCAATACAGTCTCCTTGTCAGGAGGAGGAATTGATGGCTCCAATGCAGTTCCCAATGGAGGATCAGGTGGCTCCAATGTAGTTCCCACTGAAGGATTTGGTCGCTCCAATGCAGTTCCCTCTAAATTAGAACGTGCTAATTGGAGTTGGATGAGTAATTATTGGAATTATTGGAGTTGGAGTTGGCAGGGTTCTGATTATTGATTACAGCCACTGGATTATGGACATGGAACGTATTTTGTACATTTTTAAAAATCTAAATAAATGTTTAGGCTTTTTCTGAAAATCTTACACTTTTTTAGATGAATTAGATGCATCTGAAAGAAACAAAAGTTTTTAAGGATGTTGCCAATTACTCTTTTTAAACAGTTCCCACTGGAGGATTAATTAGGCTCCGATGCAGTTTCCCCTACATTAGAGCGTTTTACCAGTGTAAGCTTTAGAAGTGCATATGAGCTTTGGAAAATTGTTGTAGTTGAAGACGACATTGTAAAAAGTTTTTTTTTTATGGAGATATGCATAATTTAAGATTAATATTAATAGTTATGCTTCATCCGGGTTAATATTTAGAATTCTTGGTAAAATAAGATAAATAAGATTACAATATTTCTAACTTTACTTAAGAAATTTTCTATAAATGATTCTTTCACGCGCAGAAAACTAATTTGGAGATTATAAAAACGTAAAATTCAAAGAAATTGTACAATTACACACATATTCTCTACTTAAAGGGACAGAAAGTATAAACTTTCAAGTGATCTTTAACCATGCAAAGATAACGGTATCCTTGAAACCAAGTTATCTGATCAAAAATAAGGAAGATATTGTCGTTTTTTTAAGTTTAAAAGTTTATAATTCTGATAAGTCCTATATTTTATTCAACAGAGAAATGCGCAAGTTACTTTTGTACGGGGTCCCAATAAACATGGACATTCAGTGACGATTTTGATTTCGTCTTTGTACATATCATACAAGTATTCCAAGCTTTAACGCCAAAATAAACATATAATATTCGAAAAACATAGCGTTTCCTGCAAGAAATTTTTTATATTAGACTTATTCAATTTTTCAAAATGATTTATTCTTCTTAAATTTTCTGATTAGTCCCGGAAATTGTAATTTAGACCCATTGACGATCTAATATGATATGAGACACCCTGTAGTATAGTGATACCTATTAAGAAAACTACAGCTGGTGTCCCACGAAACATGACAGTTGATGAATTCAGTTTTGAATGTCTTCTTCCATGTTCATTGTATTAGATATTTAAGACAATTGTTCTGGTTATATTATTAAAAAATCTTTCAATCATAAAACTATACTTTGAAATGAATTTTACAATAATGTGGCTGCCATGTAATATTCTTATTTTTTCTCTTTATAATTTGTCTCCTAGAGTTCAGAATTTGTTTGTTTAAGTTGTATTGCAACTGTATTGTACTATTATAACAGAGATAAGAGAGTTACAGAGATAGATAATCAGCTAAAATATGCGATATTTTCCACAGCATGTTCTATTGTGTACACGTACTGTACACGACCAATCAGCAAACATCTGTATTCAAGGATATTTAAGGATCCTTTGGATACGAAACAAAAAATCTTCAAAAAAAGACTGAATTTAAAATGTTTCGTGTTTAAAATTTGAGTATTTCTTTAAAAGTTGTAAAACTTAACCCCTGAATTGGTATTATGTTCAACAGGTGACCGTGATATGGCACTATAAAAACCTATCGTAAAAACGTCGATGGGTCAACTTAGGCCTAGGTAGTCCACCCTGTGAAAGTAGATAAGCAGTCTGTGTAGTCTGTGTAGCATAAATTCGTGCATACACGTAGAGTACACTGTACAGTTGTTTCTCTTCACCGCACTGTAACATTTCTGCAAGATAAACAGTGTTAATCTTGCAGAAATGTTACAGAAAATTATGCAATAAAAAAAACAGTTTTTTGCCGTTTACATATCATATACTCTAGCAGACATAACTTTATGATGACCATTGAAATTTGGTAACACAACGTTAATTCTTCAAAAAGACAATTTTGAATATGTCTCTTAATTCAAATGTTTACTGGGACACCCTGTATAAACGACAATTATTAAATGTCGTCTTTGTTCAGTAAGCTATTAAGAAATCATTTTCTTCAAAAAAAATTTAATGTGGAGTTTTTTTACCAAACGATTTTACGATTTTATCATCAAACAGAAAAGGGAGAATTTAGAAGACGACTTTTAGAACAGTATTGCATATTCCGTTTTTAAGTTAATAAAGATGCAATTTTTTGTCAAAATGAAACAAAACTGCTTGTGCCAAAAGCTACTTTTTTTTGCAATTTCGAGCACATTGTACTGTCTGGCGCGAAAAAAAATCTGCGTAAACCAGAGAAAACATGGTGCGTAAGTATACTCTTTACGCATGGATCCTGCAACAAATATTATTTACGCAGGTGTCTATAAATTCATGCTGGTAATTATTTGTTTATTTGTTAATTGTTTATTTGTTTGTAATTTGTTTATTAATTGTTTAGAATGTCTAATATGGAGCATGTGAATAAGTTAACCAGGTGTTGGGTTGTCGGTCAGTTTAATCCGGGAGCTCACAAAGACACGTCCGGTCAGCTCGGATAACTTCACTACAATTGCAATTCTTTGTCAAAATGAAACAAAACTGCTTGTGCAAAAAGCTACTTTTTTTTTGAAATTTCGAGCAAATTGTACTGTCAGGCGCGAAAAAAATCTGCGTAAACCAGAGAAAACATGGTGCGTAATTATACTCTTTACGCATGGATCCTGCAACAAATATTATTTACGCAGGTGTGTCTATAAATTCATGCTGGTATTTATTTGTTTATTTGTTAAGGGTTTATTAATTGTTTAGAATGTCTAATTATCCGGAGTTTAATTATTATAATAAGATCAATAATATTTTAATAAGATCAATAATTTTTCTTGAATCACATATTTACTTTTTCTAAACAGTTAACAATGTACAGAGTTATTCTCAAAGATTGACACGACTGTAAGGAGGGAGGGGTGGCTGCTCTAAGGGGTTTGGAATTGCTCCCAGGGTTTTGGAGTGCTCCCAGGGGTTTGGAGTTGTTCCCAGGGTTTTGAAGTGCTCCCAGGATTTTGGAGTTGCTCCCAGTGTTTGGAGTATACACAGTACAATGTTAAAATGTATCCGACCTTTTACGAAAAGTCCTTTAAAAAAGGTATTTGAAAACCGAAATTGAAAAAAAAGGCTCTGCTACCCTTGTTTTACAAGGTCTTTGTTCTGATATTTTCAGGGAAAACAAGTCGTAAATTTCAGCATATAGTTTTGATAAGCATAACTGACGAGAAGTTTTTTCAGAAAAGATCCAGTTTTTCGGCTAAATAAATCTTTAATTGATTGATATTTGAAAATGCGTTTTTATTCAACAGTCACAAAATAAAAGTTGTTTTATGTCAAATTTAGAGCCTTCTTTATGGCGCGCAATATAGCAAAAGTTATCAAATTATTGAGATAACTGAGGAAAACAAAGAAACAGCATAGTTTTTTTTGGGGGGGGGGGAATGCAAACATGTTGCACAATTAATTGTTGAAGATATGTTTTTCGTGAAATTGTTTTCCGCAAAATTTTGCGAAAACAATTGTAGCGAAAAGTATTATCGCAAAATTTCGCATTTTTTCGCTTAATTCATTTTCGCGAATAAATGCGAAATTTTGCGAAAAAGCTTGCGAACTAGGAACGAAAATGTTCGGGTTTTTTCCTTTTTTTGAGAAATTTTTCGTTCGCTGGAAACCCTACGTTTGACTGATAATTGACGACAGAGAACTCCGTTTTTGTTAAATATGCCATATAGTCCAATGTTTAAAAGATATTTTGATAGCGTCTTTGATTCATTGATTTTAGATTTTTTCATGAACAAAATAATTGCAGTATTCCAGTTTACAATTCTAATAGCGAAAACGCCAGGTTTTGAGATTTTCAAAATGTGGTCCACCATTTAAATCCTAAATATTAATTACATCGAAAGAATTTATTAGATATCGTATTCTTCACGTTCTGATAATGGAATGTTCATTTATTTAATATTTAGGGTTTAACTGTATCTTCAAAATTGACGAAGAAATTTCAATTTATTGAATAAATCAAAATTATATTTATAATATCTAACATGTTCTCGTCAATTTTTGCGATACAAGAAAGGAATATATAGACCAGTTTATGAAACAAAGTGAATAAATACTATTTAATCACTTTGTTTGTGAAAAGCTCGTCAGACATACAGCCTCATTTTTATACCTTCTTCGCCATGATTTGAATATTTTAGAAATCAAAGATGACTTGCAAGTCGTCTTACAATTCCCATGTTTATTGGGACACCCTGAAGTTCTGAATATAAATGATCATATATATATATACTGAGGATCGTCATGATAGGCGTGAAACATTATGTTTAGTATAATTCTTTTTTAATAAAAAATGTGAAGTTAAAAACTGAAATATATATATATATANCAGTGTTACTTTATATACAGTGTTACTTTATATACAGTGTTACTTTATATACAGTGTTACTTTATATACAGTGTTACTTTATATACAGTGTTACTTTATATACAGTGTTACTTTATATACAGTGTTACTTTATATACAGTGTTACTTTATATACAGTGTTACTTTATATACAGTGTTACTTTATATACAGTGTTACTTTATATACAGTGTTACTTTATATACAGTGTTACTTTATATACAGTGTTACTTTATATACAGTGTTACTTTATATACAGTGTTACTTTATATACAGTGTTACTTTATATACAGTGTTACTTTATATACAGTGTTACTTTATATACAGTGTTACTTTATATACAGTGTTACTTTATATACAGTGTTACTTTATATACAGTGTTACTTTATATACAGTGTTACTTTATATACAGTGTTACTTTATATACAGTGTTACTTTATATACAGTGTTACTTTATATACAGTGTTACTTTATATACAGTGTTACTTTATATACAGTGTTACTTTATATACAGTGTTACTTTATATACAGTGTTACTTTATATACAGTGTTACTTTATATACAGTGTTACTTTATATACAGTGTTACTTTATATACAGTGTTACTTTATATACAGTGTTACTTTATATACAGTGTTACTTTATATACAGTGTTACTTTATATACAGTGTTACTTTATATACAGTGTTACTTTATATACAGTGTTACTTTATATACAGTGTTACTTTATATACAGTGTTACTTTATATACAGTGTTACTTTATA